ACGTGCACGTGCAAAACCACACGCATAATCACACGCAATCTAACACACACGCAAACAACCACAGATACCGGTAGATACAGAGACCGTATCAAACACGCAACCATCATGAATACGGTAAATTTCAGAAATGCATAAATAGTTGCTAGCCTATCCCACCTACGCTCTCTACAACCCTCCCTCCCTCCTTCCCTCATCGCCCTTTTCAGCTCACGTGCCCTGCACAAAGCAAAAACAGAGAAGTCAACACACACAAGGCCTGCACAAAGCAAAAAAAGAGAAATCAACACACACACGCCCTGCACAAAGCAAAATCAGAGGAGTCAACACGCAAACGCCCTGCACAAAGCAAAAACAGAGAAATCAAAACACACACGCCCTGCACAAAGCAAATACAAAGAAGTCAACACACACAAGCCCTGCACAAAGCAAATACAAAGAAGTCAACACACACAAGCCCTGCACAAAGATAAGATCGAGAAGTCAACACACACATGCCCTGCACAAGAAAGCATGAACAGAGAAAGCAACAGCACACCTTGCACAAAAAAACAGTGTATGTTCACACACTGTGTGGCCATGACGCTAGCGCTTCAGGCACGGCACACTAGGTAGGTGCCATGCCAGCGCCCAAGCGTTACAGCCCGCTGCACGAGCGTGCTAGGCACTAGCCCACTAGTTGCCAACGGCCTAGACGAGCGTCTGAGGCGCCAAAATCTTAAAAGCCGGTACTCTAAATGCTAGTGCAGAAAGCCCCAGTTTGTATAAATAGCCCCAGTTTCCCAAGCACCAGCAGAATAGATGCTAGTGCCTACACCCCAGCGTGCTCATGCGCTCTCTCACGCGCTCTCTCGCGCTCCCTCACGCACTCCGTCACAAGCACCCAAACGCGCACTCTCACGCACACTCACGCACACTCTCACGCACACTCTCACGAGCACTCTCACGTGCTCTCTCACGCACTCTCTCACGCGCACTCTCACGGGAACTCTCACACTCTCTCACGCGCACTCTCACGCGCTCTCTCACGCGCACTTTCACGCGCTCTCTGACGCGCTCTCTCAGGCGCACTCTCAGGCACACTGTCCCGCGCTCTCCCTCGCGCTCTCCCTCACGCACTCTCACGCACATTCTCTCGCTCGCGCACTCTCTCACGTGCTCTCTCTCACGTGCTCTGTCTCACGCGCACTCTCACGCGCACTCTCACGCGCACTCTCACGCGCACTCTCACGCGCACTCTCACGCGCACTCTCACGCGCACTCTCACGCGCTCTCTCACGCGCACTCTCACGCGCTCTCTCACGCGCACTCTCACGCGCACTCTCGCGCGCTCTCTCGCGCGCTCTCTCGCGCGCGCTCTCACACGCTCTCTCACGCGCACTCTCACAGAAACTCTCACATGCACTCTCACGCGCACTCTCACGCGCACTCTCACGCGCACTCTCACGCGCACTCTCACGCGCACACTTACGCGCACACTAGCGCTCTCTCACGCGCCCTCTCGCGCACTCTCTCATACGCACCCTCACGCGCTCTCTCACGGGCTCTTACACGCGCCCTCACACGCGCTCTCACGCGCACTCTCACGCCCTCTCTCACGCACTATCTCATGCGCTCTTTCACGCCCACTCTCACCTCACGCGCTCCCTCACACGCACTCTAACGACCACGCTCTCACGCGCTCTCTCCTACGCAACCTAACGTGCGCTCTCTCACGTGCACTCTCATGCCCTCTCTCACGCACACCCTCACGCACACCCTCACGTGCTCTCTCACGCGCTCTCTCACGCGCACTCTCACGCGCACTCTCACGCGCACTCTCACGCGCACTCTCACGCGCTCTCTCACGCGCTCTCTCACGCGCTCTCTCACGCGCTCTCTCACGCGCTCTCTCACGCGCTCTCTCACGCGCTCTCTCACGCGCTCTCTCGCGCACTCTCTCACGCGCTCGCTAACGCACACTCTCACGCGCTCTCTCACGCGCACTCTCACGCAAACTCTCACATGCACTCTCACGCGCACTCTCACGCGCACTCTCACGCGCACACTCACGCGCACACTCGCGCTCTCTCACGCGCTCTCTCGCGCACTCTCTCATACGCACCCTCACGCGCTCTCTCACGGGCTCGTACACGCCCTCTCTCACGCGCTCTCTCACGCGCTCTCTCACGCGCTCTCTCACGCGCTCTCTCACGCGCTCTCTCACGCGCTCCCTCACGCGCTCTCTCACTCACACTCTCAGGACACTCTCACGTGCTCGCTCTCGCGCACTCTCACGCGCATTCTCTCTCTCACGCGCTCTCTCACACACACTCTCAGGACACTCTCACGCGCTCGCTCTCGCGCACTCTCACGCGCATTCTCCCTCTCACGCGCTCTCTCACGCGCTCTCTCACGCGCTCTCTCACGCACACCCTCACGCACACCCTCACGCGCTCTCTCACGCGCTCCCTCACGCGCTCTCTCACGCGCTCCCTCACGCACTCCCTCACGCACGCGCTCCCTCAGCACGCTAGGCGCCAGCGCGCTAGGCGCCAGCGCGCTAGGCGCCAGCGCGCTAGGCGCCAGCGTGTTAGACGCCAGCGCGCTAGGCGCCAGCGCGCTAGGCGCCAGCGCGCTAGGCGCCAGCGCGCTAGGCGCCAGCGCGCTAGGCGCCAGCGCGCTAGGTGCCAGCGCGTTAGACGCCAGCGCGCTAGGCGCCAGCGCGCTAGGCGCCAGCGCGCTAGGCTCCAGCGCGTTAGACGCCAGCGCGTTAGGCGCTAGCGCGATAGGCCCCAGCGCGTTAGGCGACCAAAGAGGAGAGCAATGGGAGTGTAATGGTAAGAAAATTCAGCATAGAAAACTTACGAAGAAAGTAGAAAACCTAATAAAATTCGGCGGGAGGAGGGAGGTAAAAAGGTCCTAGAAACGTAAACGCACCTGAGACAGCGGTGTCGCATAAAACAACGCGAGGTCGTTTAGCAACCCGCGCTCACGCTCGTGCACCCACCAGAGGCGACGACGGGAAGGGAGGGAGAGGCGACGGCGAGGAGGAAGGGAGCGGCTATTGACGGGGCGGGAGGGAGAGGTTATGGCGGGATGGGAGGGAGAGGCGATGGCGGTTGGGAGGAGGGAGAGGCGCTGGCGGGATGGGAAGGAGAGGATACACTGGGATGGGAGGAGAGGCGACACGGGATAGCTAGTAGATGGGAAGAACCAAGAACTGAGAATCAAGAATCAAGAACCAAGAACCAAGAACCAAGAATCAAGAACCAAGAGGAAAGCGTCGAATTCGAGTTGACAATGTGAAAGGAAACAATACAGTTTTTACTCGTTAGAAGAGCGTGTAATCTTTGGGGCAGATGAGATTCACATTGTATTGCTAGGACAAACTGGACAACTAGGCATGGACAATCTTTCATTTAGGTGTATAGGTAGAAATATGAGCAAGATACTAATTTGAAAGCTGTGCTACCTGAAACACACGCATAACTATGTTATCAAATTACTGTTGAAAATAGCGAACCACTATAGTAACTGGACGGTGCAATATAGTAAGATGGAGCTAAAAAATATTATCTATTTTAATAACAAAAATATCATCACTGTCCAAATCGCTACCTTTTGATACTTGACAAGCTTTCAAACATGTACATAATTACTATTTCTCTCTAACATGTCTTTTCCATAAGTATAATATATAATATTCCATCATATGTTTCTTATACCACTAGAAACAACTCTACGCAACCCTTCCGACGTAAACGTCGAGTCTTGTTTTACCTTTGATCGGGCGCTCGTGCAGCACGAACACGTGTTCAGCCGGATCACCATTCGGGTCCACACCCGCCACCTTTACCTCCCGATGCTGCGGATCTGCGTGCTTCTTCAGGAACTCGTTCAGCAGGGGGGATTGTCCGTTGCAGTCTAGGAAACGGACTTCGATTGTGCGACACGTAAGGGAAACTTCACTTGCGACGACTGTAATGTCCAACTGCCAGGGTTTAGGAGACACAAGACAATGTTAGTCGTTGGGTTTTTTTGTGACGTAACCGATACCGCCTGCAAAATCTAAACCTTACCTGAAGCTTTTGGAATTTGGCGTTCAACTCGTTCAGGATCGCCAGAAAATCTGCAAGGAAGTAGACGAGAAAATGAAACTTGAAAGACGTGCAGGTCTCGTACATCTTTTTATCCTTCTCGTGCAGCAAGAGCACAGTCGCCGGAAGCACCTTCGCGAACCTCTTCACCGCCTCTCCCCGTGATAGCCAACGCACGTCATGAATGCCTTGCAGCTCGAGGTTCGTCTCGCAGACAACTTCTTGAAGTTGGCGGAAACGCCTGTGGTGGTTGGAGCTCTGCGACAACATCGTCGCCACCGCCCGAACTCCCTTGTTAACGATTTCCAAGTTCGTCAGCTTGGTCGCAGCATCTTTGGCGGCGAGCGCCTCGCTGCGAAAGGAAACATTCATGTTAGCGAGGTCAGTAGTAAGGGAGTTAAATGATGCATTAAACATTACACATGACATTCAACTTACAGATGCATTTTCCTACCGATGGGCTATGCAGTGACATGAGACGAGGTAGGGATTCTTCGCGCGGAGATGAGCCACAAGGCCAGCGTGCTCCCCGGTCATGACCGAAGCACCGTCAGTACTTATCCCGACGATTTTCGAGAAGTCGAGGCCGATCGCGTGCAGATGCGTAAGCAGCACGTCTTGGAGACTTGTAGCATCTGCTTTCTTGACCGTCAGCAGGGAGAGAAACTCCGTCACAACCTGCTCGCATTTCAAGTACGTAACGTACACGATAAGGTGCTTCCCGCGCACCCTATCGGTACTCTCATCCAGAGCGATGCCGATGTAGGGACTCTGGGCGATGTGCTGCAGTTGCTCTTGACGTAGATACTTGGACGCGGCTTCGACCAACTCGCCGAAGCCATACCTGCATGTACACGGTGCAAACGTCAGAACGCACATGAGTGTCAAGAAACATAGCACTGTAAAAACATGACTTCGAGATTCTCACTTTGAGTAGTAGCTTCCACGCTGATCAACCGGAAGGTTCGGGCAACCCATCTCCAGCATGAACTTGATGAAACCGATGTAGGAAGAGATTGGTGCCTCGGATTGGCACGTGAACACCGCCGTCTTTAACGCCGCGATAAGGTGAAGTGTCTTCTTGTCCAGTCCCTCGTACTCGTCCAGCATCGCTTGGCGCAACTTCCGGCTCTCCGTCGCCTTCTTAGCCCCATGCGCGTCAAGATGTGCGGTAGACCGTTGATGCGTACGAATGCTCTGCTTCTGCATGTCGCGTCCACCAGCACCGCCCTTGCCGTATGCCGTATTTGCATTCTCGGCGCCAAACTCCATGCAAGTGCTGCATTTTAAAATAGGAAACCCATCGTCAGCGCGAGACAACACAAGCCACGGGAATAATCCTTGCCAGGAGTTTGTGTAGCGGCGGTGTGCCTTGGTAAACGCGACCTCAGGATCTTTTTCAGAGCTCGTGAGATCTTCCTCCTCTTCGTTATCTCCCTCGTTGTCAGCCACCTCGTCGACTAGACAGGGCTCACGTGTAAAGCTGAGCTTCCGCTGACGCCATTTCTGCGGCACGAGACTGGCGCGTTGCTTGCGCTTTGTGCCACTCGACTCCCGCCCAGGCTCCGTGGGTTCTTGGGATGGGCCGGCAGCGGCAGGTTCTGGGGTCGTAGCATTGGAACCAGTAGTGGGTAGGGAGGGCGGATCTGCCCGCGTCTGGACAGACTCGGTAACGGGAACCGCAACAGACCTCAGAAAGCTGAGACCTATTCTCGGGGGAGAGACGGGACGTGTCTTGCCAGCTTCGTCGTCGACGTTACAAAGAGCGTCAGTAGCCATGGATTGGAAAACGGGATGTGGCTAGCTAGCTAGCCACTCAGACGGGAGCTGCGTGGTGGTGAGAAAGTGGCTGGGCTTATAGAAAAGACTGTGCTTGGCTGCAGTCTGCAGAGTGTTGCTGTGAGAGCTTCCCGATGGGGTGTCCTGTCCTGGGAGGGTGTGCGATGGATGGGAGGGGGAGTCTGGAAGGTTCGCTGTGGAGGGGAGTGCGTGCGGGCGCCGCGCTGTGCTGTGCTATGATGTCAAGGTGACCATCAAGGCGACCCGCACAGTCGTGATTGTGAAAGTTAGCCGCTAATTGCGGCAAGATTTTCGCCGACTGTTGATGTGCTGGACCCCCCCCCCCCCCCCCCCGGAAATTCGTCAGTGTCAGATCCGTTTCGAGTCTTTCATGGCAGTCCGGTTACACAGACCACTCTGAAATATCAGCCCATTGTGAAACATAGCTTTTTCAGAAAAGGGTCCACCAACAAACAACTCTGAAAAAAAAGGCAAAGGAAGACACCCCAGCCTTATAGTAAGGGTTGTAAGGGTGATTCACCCTGCTAACCAGAGGCCTGTGCCCCACCCTTACAGAAATACCAACTTCCGCGACCTGGCCTTTCGAGTAAGAGTGCATCCTATCCTATCCAGAGGCCTGGTTCCGACCCCTTCTTGCTTTGTGCCCCTTCTTGCTCCTCACCTTGCCCATCTCCCTCTCACTCCCTCTCTTGCAGTCTCTCACCCATAGTTCTTCGCTCTGTAAGCCGCCACGAGCCTATCAAGTTCATCCACCAACTCCTGGTGTTCCGACCCCTTCTTGCTCCTCACCTTGCCCCTCTCCCCCCCACCACCTCCCCCCAGCCCAGCCAGTGCAGCCTGCGCCCGCCTAGCCTCCATCACTGCGGCTGCTGCTTCTCCTCTCCTTGCGTCTGTCTTTGCCTTTTTAGAACCGGGAGAGGCAGCAACAGATTTCATTGCCAGTGCTGCTGCTCCCCTCCTTGGGTCCGTCTTTGCCTTTTTAGCACCAGGGCTCAATGCAGCATGAGAGGTAGCAGCAGCTTCCAATCCAGCAGCAGGAGACACACCAGCGCTCCCTGCTGCACTCTTCTGCTTCCTCTTTAACTCGCCCTTCCCACTGCCTCTCGCCCCTCCCTGCTCTGCTGCACCTGCTGTCTTTGCACCAATCCTCTGCTGCTCTGCTGCAGCGCCCGCCTTCCCACCTGCTTGCCCCTGTGGTCCCTCAGGCCCCTTCACGTCCTTCCCCTGCCCCTTCCCCTGCTGACCCTGCCCCTTCCCTCCCTTCACCTGCTTCTGCTTCTTCTTCGCTGGGAAGCCCCTAGCATCACCAACAGCAGGCGCCTCGCCCTCCTCAGGCTTTCTCTTTGCACCCCTTGCTTTGCCCGAACCAGTGGGCCCAGCTTCTTGCTGCTGCTGCTGCTGCTGCTGCTGCCTCTTCTCCTGCTTCTGCTGTTGCCGCACTGCCTGTCGCCTGTCGCTCTGCTGTCTCACCGTGTGCTGCCTCTGCTTCACTATCGAAACGTTTTCGATTGCAAACTCCACTATGGGACGAGCGTCACGAGAGAAAATCGCTGCAAGGGATGCAAGGGAGGGGCATGGACGAGGGAGGGCGGCACAGAAGTAAGGAGAGGTATGGAAGTGTGCTGCCTCTGCCTCACTATGGCCACATTCTCGATCGCAAACTCTGCTATGGGCGAGCTTGTCATGAGAGAAGATGGCTGCTCATGGGGAGGTTCATGAGGCGGAAGAATTAAGGAACACAGAAGATGGATAAGGAGCCTGATTTGTTACATGTTCGGGTGCTGCCTCTGATTCACAGTGGCCATGCTCTCAATCCCCACAATGCGGCGACCATCGCACGAGAAGATGGCTGCAAGGGAGGGACATGAGAACAGGAGAGGCATGCGGAAGGGATGGAGGCGCATGGGGGGTGGGGATAAGAATGCTGGCTCCGCTTTACAATTGCAACGTTCTCAATCGCACACCCCACAGTTGGGCGAGGGGTACGAGAGAAGATGGCTGAAAGGATGCAACGAAGGGGCATGCATGTAAGCGAGGGGCACAGAGGTAAGGGAGGGGCATGGGTGTAAGGGAAAGGCACGGGCGATGCTGTGCCTGCGAGCACTGCACAGAATTGCACTGCACCGCACAGCACTCACTGGGATGGTTGTTCAGTGCTCTCAGCGTCGCCACCCTATGCTGATGCTCACTGAACCCAATGAACACCGCTCCCTTTGCCTGCTGTCTGAAGAAAAGTGCAACACTGCACCACATCACACTTCACGGCACTGTATTGCACTCTACTGCACTTCTCTGCACCGCATTGCACTGACTGGGATAATTGTTGAGTGCTCTCAGCGCCGCCACCGCGTGCTCAAGCTCGCTAAACTCATCAAACGCCACTGCCTTCGCCTTCAAAAACAGCAGAACAGCGCACTGCACAGTACCGCCACAACCCTGCACTGTGCTGGACTGCACTGCACTCACTGAGGTTCACCGCACTGCACTCACCTTTGACACTTGCAGGGTCCACCGCACAGTACAGTATTTCACCATAGTGCATCGCACTGCACTCACTGGGATGGTTGTTGAGTGCTCTCAGTGCCGTCACAGCGTGCTGATGCTCACTAAACTCAATGAACGCCGCTCCCTTGGACCGCGGCTTTCCATCCGGCCCCACCCGGTCCGTTTCCCTCAGCACCTTCACCTGCAGAAATGAGAGGGCGATGAAAGAGAGGGGTGCAAATTGGTTGGAAGGAGTGCAAAGAGAGATTAAACATCACTCCCTTGGACCGCGGCTTGCCGTCTGGCCCCACCCGGTCTGTTTCCCTCAGCACCTTCACCTGCAGAAATGAGAGGACGATGGAAGAGAGGGGTGGACGACGGTTGGAAGGAGTGCAATCAGAAGACGAGAAGGTGGTCAAATGATGCTTCCTTGGTGAAAGGGAGGACGATGGAAGAGGGTTGACAATGGAAACGAGGGGTGGATGGTGGTTGTCAAATGGGCTCACGTATGCTTCACCCCACTACCATGCACACCCTGCCCACACCCTTTACCTTAAACCTTTACCCTCACTCACTCACCTGCTTCACATGTGGCTTCTGCTTCTTGGCCTGCGCCCTAGCAGCATCCACAAACAGCTGCTTCAGCTGCTTCTCATTCATCTCTCACCTGTTCCCCCTAGCACCCACCTATTTTTGAGTCGACTCAAAAACCTGTTCTCCCAAGCACCCCGCCTATTTAACTCTACATGCGCCCATCACCCTCACCTGCTTCACATGTGGCTTCTGCTTCTTGGCTCTCGCCCTCACAGCATCCACAAACACCTGCTTCAGCTGCTTCTCATCCATCTCCCGAGGCACGTTGTGCACTGCCAGGCGCGTTAATGACACGGCAAAGTTGGGACTCCTTAATTTCATCAGCTTCTCACGCTGCAGCCTGAAAGGGGACGGGGTGGGGGGAAGGGTTGGGGGGGGGGGGGGGGAGAGGAATAGGGCATGAGCATGACTCTCAAAAGGCCTCAAAGAAATATTGCATATCAACAACACTGCAAAGTTGGGGCTCCTTAGTTTCATCAGCTTCTCACGCTTGGGGTTGAGGGGGATACGATCACAAGGAAAAGTTGGGACTGCTCAGCTTTAGTTAAGATAACATGAGAACGATGAGCTGGGCAGGAAAAAGAAAAACAAAATACCTCTTTGCAGTCACCATATCATTGTTCATCCATCCAGACCATCTATTTCCCCAACCCACCTCATTCCCCAACCCACCTCTTCCTCTTCTCCATGTCTGCTGCCGGCATTCCCTCCGCTGCTCGTGTTCCCTCCTTGATCACCCCCTCCTGTAATGCAATTCCATGCCATGCCATGCCATGCCATGCCATGCCATACCATACCATCCCAGATACCATGCCATGCCATGTTATGTTATGCCATGCGGCCCATGCCATGCCACGAAATATCAAACCAGCACATGCACAAAGCATGACATGCAACGTCAAGCCCGCACATAGCCCCATGCAAGGGAGGGGCAAGAACGGAGGAAATGAAGCAACGATGCAACGGAGTGAGGAAAGGGGAAAAAAAAAACTACACAGAAGACTCCATGGGGGTTGTTTTATAATTAATCCAACTGTATCACACGAGACAAACAAAAGAGGTGTCCAGATTCCGGCTATGTGTTCTGTACCACTTGCAATCTGCTACAAGCACCCTTAGAACCACTGCACCGCCTGCCACATCCCAGCACCCCTATACACACCTCGAGCAGATGAAGGTTCCGTCTGTCCTCCTCTCTCCCCTTGCCTGTCTGCTCTGCTTGCTTCCTCTTCTCCACCACCTTCGAGACCTCCTCCCGTCGCACTGCCAGAGTCACAAGCGCCTGTTGCCCACCCACCACCACCACCCCCTCCTCCACCACGCCTCCCTTCCGGCCCTCCCCCCCAGCCTCGGCCCTGGCCTTGGCGGCTCGGACCGAGCCTGCCACGGCGGCTTGTGCTGCTTCGGGGGATTCGAACCGGACGAACGCCGAGCCTCGGGGACGCCTTGGGGGATTCAGCAGGTGGTGTGATGGGGTGCATTGGAGTTGAGAGGAGTAAGGTGATGCGACTGTTTATAGGAATGCTGTTTAGAATAGAAGAGTACACTTATGCTGTTAATAGGAATGCTCACCTGGTAGCACAAGGCTCTATGGGTGCGGGACACATTGCTTAGCATGCCAGACACCTCGTACAGTCACAACAACCCACCAGATAACTGGGACAGAGCAACCCACCAGATAACTGGGACACAGCAACCCACCAGATAACTGGGACACAGGACACAGCAACCCACCAGATAACTGGGACACAGCAACCCACCAGATAACTGGGACACAGCAACCCACCAGATAACTGGGACACAGCAACCCACCAGATAACTGGGACACAGCAACCCACCAGATAACTGGGACACATCGTGTAACTTGCAATGCTCCTAGGAAGGTCACAGCAACTCACCAAGTGAGTGACTTTTGAGACATCTCAAAAACACAGCAACTCACCTGGTAACTGGGTGCAGCAAACAGCACCACACAATAGTCAACCACCTTGCCGAACGGATCAGACGCCTCATAGCACAGGTGTAGCGCGACAGGTGTGACTCACAAAGCACGTCTCACAAAGCACGACCCAACACAGCCACCCACCTGGTAACCGGGTGCAGCACGACTCTGCAGTCAGCCACCTTCCCAAACCCAAGTGCCCAACTGAAACACAGTCCTACTACTGCGTAACCTAGTTACATTGTTGTCAGTTGTAACACATGACATGACGCAGCACAGAAACGCACCTGGTAACCGGGTGCAGCACGACTCTGCAGTCAGCCACCTTCCCAAACCGTTCAAAAGCTGCTCGGATGCGGTCAGCTGAGGCATCCACCGGCAGGTTCCTCACAAACACCGTCGCTGGTGGTGCCTCTGCCTCCTCGCCCTTCCCATCCTTCCCTCCCTTCCCGTCTTTCCCTTCCTTCACCTCCCCTTCCTCCACACCCGTCCCTTGCTCCTTGCCATCACCAGAGCCTGTCTTCTTCCCTGCTGCACTCCCTTAACCTCCTCGCCACCCTTCTTTCCGTCGCCCACCTTTCCCTCCTTTCCCACTTTTGCCACCTTCCCGTCCTTCCCCATTTTCCTTGCATCCCCTTCCTTCCCACCTTTCGCCCCTACATCCTCCACGGTGCCCCTCATCCCCTCCCCCCCCTGCTCCTGTCCTCCTTTCCCCAGCTCAACCACACGGGACAGCACCCGTAGCATCATATCCTTCTCACTCCCTTGCACGGCACCACTGCTGCCACCACCACCACCACCCATTTCCATCTCCCAATCTACCTCTTCATCCTCCTCATCATCTTCATCTGATGTTTCATCCTCCTCCTCCTCTTCTTCCTCTTCCCCCTCCTCATCCTCCTCTTCCTCTCCCTCCTCACTCTCGTCCTCATCCTCTTCCTCCTCACTTCCTTCTTCCTCCTCTTCCTCCCCTTCCTCCTCTTCATCTTCCTCCTCCTCATCCTCCTCCTCTGCTTCCATATCTAAAAGACCATTCACCCTTGCTTCCCTCTCCTCATCCTCCTCTTCCACTTCTTCCATTTCCTCTTCCTCCTCCCCTTCCTCATCATCTTCCTCTTCCTCATCATCTTCCTCTTCCTCTTCCTCATCCCCCCCTCCCTCATTCATCTCCTCATCTTCATCATCAAACAGCATTGACAACCCATCTGATTGGGGAAATGAGAGTAGGAACGGATAAAGATATACATGCAGTAGCATAGGAAAACGGTGTTCAGAATTATGCTCCTCTCCTCATTATTGTGACCATTGAGCAGCATCGACAACCAACAATCTGCATAAAAAAAGCGCAACGGGAAAGCTGCAGGTGTGAGAGACACACAGACCTCTCTTTGCCATCGCCCACCCACCAATACACGTTATTCATTTCTATATACACAAACAAACCCACCTCTATTCTCCTTGGCACTCGATTCCCCACACGAACATGCACGCACGCACACACACGCACACACACACACACACACACGCACACACACACACACACGCACACACACACACACACGCACACACACACACACACACACACGCACACACGCACACACACACACGCACACACGCACACACACACACACACACGCACACACGCACACACACACACACACACACACACACAAACAAACACACACACACACCTATTCTCTTTCGCTTCCTCGTTCACACACTCTCCACGTGCTCCCTCTCTGCCACCACCTATTCAACCGACGCACACACATAAGCATACATGCACACGCATACACAAATCTCACCTCTAATCTCCTATGCTTTTCCTTTTCCAAACCACACCCTCCACGTGCTCTCTCTTTGCCACCACTCATGCCAAAAAATACACGCATATACACACTCTACTTTATTTGCCATAAACAATTCCTTCACACCTCTATTCTCCTTCGCCTTCTCCTTCTCCACACTCTCCACGTGATCTCTCTTTGCCACCGCCCATCCCACCGAGACGGCTCGGCCGTTGATGGTCGTGCCGTTGACCTTTTCAATAGCCTGTGTGGAGGCGGATTGGACGGAGGATTGGATGGAGGGAAGGGGGCGGAGGGGACAGGGAATGTGTGGAGGCGGAGGGGAGAAAGGAGGAAATGTGTATGTTTGAGAAAATGTGTTGCACTATCTCTGGCCGTGGAAGGAAATGCGCTAAATGATTGAGGCTCATCTCATGCATCTCTTTACCTGTGCTGTCAGTCAGTATGTGACTTCGAAGTCGAATGATCGAATCAAATGGAAACTCTTTGGGGGTGCTCTGGGGGTGTGAGGTTCAAGAGTCTCTTACCTGTGTCATTAGTCTGTTCGGTTAGATTGCTGTGTGTCAGCGTGTCAAGCTGGCATGTTACTTTGTGCTTGAGTCAGGTTGACAGGTTGATGTGGGACTGTTTGTGAGCTTGCTTGTGAACAGAAAGGACAGGCTTTCACCTTTGCTGCATCGCTCTTTGTGGTGAAGGTGACAAAGGCGAATCCTCGAGGCCTGCCATGCGCACAGAAAGAGGAGGGGGGCAATGAGGCAGAGAAGAGCGGCCTAGCGAGTGTATTGAAATCACTTTTGAAAATTCTCAAACGTGATTTCAGTACTAAGGGATCTATCAATCTTTGTGTAACGATAGATCTCTTAGCACATCTTTCCAAAAGAGGTCCGTCCACGCACTGATTCCCTTCCTTCACACACAGCAACAATGATCACTCACATCCTGAAAGTCTAAGCTATGCTGCAACTGCAGCATGTGCCGCATCCACTCGTATTTTTTTAGCTCACCCCCTCATATGCTCAACCCTCATACGCTCAACCCTCATACGCTCACCTCTCATGCGCTTTTTGAGGCGCCTAAAAAATCGTCTCAGTTCACGCGGTTTTTTTATGGGAAATGTGCATATCGCATGGAGGTCGCATGGAGGTGTGCATGTAACTTGCAAAAGTTACTCGTGCGAGCGAAGGTTCCAACTTATCGACAGCTCTGACGAAGACACTACGGATGGCTGACACTGATACCTCGGGTTTGTACCCAGTGCTGCGTTGGCGAATGCCCATTGTAAGGCAATCTGGGTAGTTGGGAACTTTGATTTCTATTCGCGGTGTGGGTTAATACTTAGCTCGTACAAAGCTGAAGATCTCGTCGTGTTCAGAAGCACTGATGAAGGCTTAACGGGATTTCCCCCGCCTTGCCGAAACATGTTTGCGACCTGTTCTCTTTTAGTAAATACAAATTTCTGCTTTCAGAATTCTCTTAGCTAGGGTATTTAACTGTCCCTCTTTCTTACTAAAAGCTTTCTCTAGCACTGCAGCTCTTCCAATCCATGAGTTATGCTCCCCTCTCATGCGCTCACCTCCCATGCACCTCACATGCTGCCTCTGATCCATCCAGCTGCCATCCCTTCGCCTGCACCAGCTCTCACCTGCCGTCCAGCTCTCACCTGCCATCCAGCTCTCACCTGCCGTCCAGCTCTCACCTGCCGTCCAGCTCTCACCTGCCGTCCAGCTCTCACCTGCCATCCAGCTCTCACCTGCCGTCCTCCCCATGCGGTATCTTGACAGCCCATGGGAAGCCCGCAACAGCAAAGGCCTTTCTCAAATCAGCTTCTGCCACCTGGCATTGCATTGCATCGTTCGCCCACCACGCACGCAGCAAACACCCGATCACAATGGAAAATGTGCCCATACGGATTGATTTTTGAGGCGTCTTGAAATGAGCACATACGGACTGCAGGTGAGTGACTGAACTATCATGGAAGCATGCAATGAAGTTTTGAGACTTCTCGGAACTTGTGGGCTGCATGGCAGCTTCTAGGTGCTTGAAGGTTGAATATGACAGCAACACAAACAGCCATGACAATGCCTTTCAGCGAGTAAGTAAAAGATGCAATTCACTTTGTTCTTCTAAAAGAGAAAAGTTAAAGAGCACTGAGTGCCGTGCACAACGCACCTTGAAGGGCAGGTTGCGAACTATGACCCGATTGCTGAGAGTCTTAGAACCCTGTAGTCACGGATTCATACGCACACACACATGAACGCACATGCACGCATACACGAGGATGGCATGGTTGGGCAAAAGAGAAGGGAGGCTGACAAGAGAGGCAGAGAGGAAGCGCTGGAGACACAAGGTGAAGCAGCGCAGCAGCACCATGGTGCTAGAAGACGTGGCTTGCATGGTGCTGGAAGACGTGGCTTGCATGGTGCTGGAAGACGTAGCTTGCATGGTGCTGCACACTCCTCTACACGGACCACCACTCACCCTCCGCACCATGCAAGCCACATCTTTACCTGTGAGTCACCAACCACCCACCTCGCCGCCTAGTTGCCTCGCCCACACAGTACCACTCTGCTCCGAGCCACCAGCCTCTGCGCCGCCCTCCTCCGCACCGCCTGGAACCGTAGAGCCGTGCAGCGATGCCACAGCCTGGCGGGCGGCCCGCACCGAGGGGAAGACGACAGAGAGGGCGGGGAGGGTGCAGCCGTCAAGGGCTAGGCCTGGTGGGGCGGGGAGCGAGAGGGAAGGCAAGTAGAAGAAAAGGCAGGTTGAGGCACCACTTCTAGGCACCACTTCTTGTGAATCCGTCCATACAGCGATGCCATGGCCTGGCCTGGCAGGAGGCCTGCACCAATGGGAATACGATTGACAGGGTGGGAGGGGTGCAGCCATCAAGAGCCAGACCGGGTGGGAAGGGAGAGGAGGAGTGGTGCGGTGGGGAGAAGGGCTAGCAGAAGGGCTAGCAGAAGGGCTAGCAGAAGGGCTAGCAGAAGGGCTAGCAGAAGGGCTAGCAGAAGGGCTAGTAGAAGGGCTAGCAGAAGAGAAGGTGTGCGTGAAAGACCGGTTTTGGTTTCCGGGGCACTTTGACGGGAAGCCAATGGACAGGGCTGGGGGACAGCAAGGTGCAGCAGTTAGAATGAATAGTGTATGAATTACGCCAATCAACTCTCACCTCTCCCCTGAAGAGCCTTTTCCGGGAAAGGGTTGGTGACCTCCTCTGGAGCATAGATAGCAGCTGGCAGGCAGTACAACATGTCGAATACAGACTGATGCCGTGAGATCAGATCAAGCCTCACCCACCTCTCTCCTTCAGTGCATCTTCTGGCAGCGGGTTGGTGACCTCCTCAGGGGTAGCGATGGCAGCAGCAGCAGAGAGGACATGTGCAACAGCTGCTGGGGATGAGAGCCCTCCAAACACCACTGTGCGGGCTGGCCTGGAAAATGGAGGAAAGGGGAGGCGAGTGAAGCGGGTGAAGGTTGGAGATCTTTCCCCATTTTCCAGGCCAGCCCGCACAGTGGTGAAGCGGGGAGAGGGGAGGGGGTTGCCATGAGAGCAGCAGTACAGAGAGAGGATATGAGCTACCGCTGCTGAAGATGAAAGCCCTCCGAACACCACCGCGCGGGCTGGCCTGGGAAAAGGGCGAGCGGGACAGGACGGAGAGGGAGGAAGAGGGTATGCGACCTCCTCCTCGGTGGTAGATGGCGGCAGCGGCAGAGAGGACTTGCGCCACTGCCGCTGGGGATGAGAGCCCTCCGAACACCACCGTGCGGGCTCGCCTGGAAAAGGGAGGAGAGAGGAGAGGTGTGAGGAGGGCTGGGGGGGTAAGAGCCCTCCTTAGGAGTAGTGATAGCAGCAGCAGCAGCAGCAGAGAGGACATGCGCCACTACTGCCGGGGATGAGGGCCCTCCGAACACAACTGTGCGGTTTGGCCTGGAGTGGGGAGAGAGGGCCAACAAAATTGTGCGTTTGCAAGGAGCAAACAAAAATTGCAAGGTATGTGAATCCCAAGAACGGCTGCTTCACCTTTGCTTCAGTGACGACCCGCCACTCTCCTTCTTGCTCCCTCCTGCTGCCGTCGCAGCAGCAGCAGCAGCAGACTGGCCCTTCTTGTTCTCCTTCTTATCCTTTCTCTCCTTCTTGCTCCCTCCTGCTGCCGTTGCAGCAGCAGCAGCAGCAGCAGCAGCGGCGGCAGCAGCAGGCTGGCCCTTCTCCTCCTTGTTCGCCTTCTTATCCTTCTTATCCTTCTTATCCTTTCTCTCCGTCTTGCTGCTCCCCTCAACCCCCTTGCCTGGGGTTGCTGTAGCCGATGCTTTGTCCTGGGCACCAGCAGGTGCACTCACAGCAGCAGCAGGGGAAGCAGGGACAGCAGGTGTGGCAGCAGCAGCAGCAGCAGCAGCAACAGGAGCAGCAGCAGCAGCAGCAGCAAGGGCAGCAGCATCGGAGTCAGCAGCAGGGAAGGTGATGCGAGTGGGTATTCTCCTGCCCATGGCATCTGTAGCAACAGTCCTCCCTCCATCTGGCGCGCTGCTCCTCCCCAGCCCATGCAGGCCGGTCAGATCGTCCTGGTCCTCCACCTGGTGTGCTGCAAGCAAGAAAGGCCAAGGGAGAGACGCAAGCAAGGAAGGGATGAGGTGGGAGCACGTTAGGCATGGTTAAGACCATTGCGCTGTACCTCAGCTCGGCCCGTGCAGGCCGGCCAGATCGTCCTGGTCCTCTACCTGATGGGCTGCAGAAAAACGACACACCAGTCAGGCAGGGGAGCAAGTGAAAGGGATCGGATCAAAAGAGAGAGTTTGGGAGAGGCAGATAGTGTTGAAGCGAGGGCAGTTCCCCAATCCCTCCTTTCGAGGCGCCTCAATAGGCGAGGGCAGTTCCCCAATCCCCTCAAATCCTCCAGTCCCCCACAATTCCGCATCACCTCTGCCTGCACACTTCCGACTCCCATCCTCTGCTGCTACTCCCGCTTCTTGAGATTCTCAAAAATGACACATGCATGCCCTTCATCAGCCGTCCTACAGCCATAAAAGAGCTGGCTTCCCTTCGTCAGACTATTGCAGAACTGATCTGTCTCTTCGCCACCTCCATTGTCAGGGGTCCGCCCTTCCAGCCGCCAGAGACAGGCTGTAGCTCTTCCCCTGCTAGATACATGCCCTGCCCTTCCCTGCTCTTTCCACCCACCTTGCACTCGCAACCCTCTGTTACCCACTTTGTCACCAAGAGAAGCTCTTCACTTTGCTAGCTCCTCCACTGCCAGACGTCACCCTACTAGATTACAGATACATGCCCTGCCTCCTTTTCCCCTCCCACCTTGCGGCCGCGGCCCTCGTTTGGCCAGCCGTTCGCCCAGAGGCGCTCGTCTCTTCGCCAGTTCCACTGCCAGGGTTCTCCCTTCCAGCCACCAAGAAAAGGCTTCGCTTCTCCGCCTACTAAATCACTGTCCTCCCCTTCACCCCTCTCACCTTGCGGTCGTGGCCCTCGTTTTGCCAGCCGCTCGCCCAGAGGCGCTCGTCTCTTCGCCAGCTCTACAGCCAGAGGTCGCCCCTCCAGCCGCTTTCCCTCCAGGCCAGAGCCAAGCCAGATCATAGATGCCCTACCTACCATCCATACCTGCATCCTTTTCCCTACCCACCTTGCGGCCGTGGCCCTCGTTTAGCCAGCCGTTCCCCCAGAGGTGCTCTCCTCTTCGCCAGTTCCACTGCCAGAGGTCGCCCCTCCAGCCGCTTTCCCCCAAGCTCCCTCACTGCCCTCTCTGCGTCCTCTGCTAGCGCGCTGATACGTGGTGGAAGGAGTGTGCAAAGGGGGGACGGGGGAAAGGGGAAAGATGTCGGTAGTGGGTGAGAGAAGAAGCAAGAGGATATGCGAGGGGGCTGCCCTCCAGCCGCTTTCCCCCCAGCTCCCTCACTGCCCTCTCTGCGTCCTCTGCTAGCGCGCTGGTGGGTGCCAGTTAGCAGGGGTGCGAGAGGAAGCCAGGAGCTGTTTAATAAGCAAGATATGCGACGGGTCAGTGGGTATTCCCTCCAGCCGCTTTACCCCACCCTGTCTGCATCGTCTGCACGGGCGCTGTGCGTGGTGGGGAGGTCGCGCCGAGAGGAAGGGGGGAAAAGGAGGGGGAAGAGAAAAGCTGGGATGAACAGGAGGCGTCAAGGAGCAATGGATGCTATGGGAGGCAGAAGAACCGACTAGAAACGCTCAAGAACTCTCTTGAAAATGCTCACGAACTCACCTAGAAACACTTTGATGCAGAAGCAGAAGATTTCAAAATGCATCAGCATGAGTAATCTCCCACGCAAGGCACAAGAAACAGAAGCGGGCTGCACTCACTATTGCACGAATCCCATCCCTCGATGCGTCTCCGCGCCTGAAAGAATGAGAGGAGCAGATGAGAGGAGCAGATGAGAAGAGCAGATGAACGGGTGCAAGAGCAGGTGAGGGGAATGAAAATAATGCAACTGTTGGGCATATCAATGCCTCCTTCTGCAGATATACAACAGGAAATAAAACAGAGGAGGTGGTAAACAACAAGTAGCAACACCCCAATGAATATGGGAGAGGCAAAAACGCACCTTTTCTGGGCCACAGTTATAAATAACTCAAGGAAGAAAATCTGAGTAGACTCAAAGATGTATAGCACAGAATACTGGGACTTGACTGGGCAGATAGCACTCACTCACTCACGCCCATGAATAAGGGAGAGGTAGAGACACACCTTTCTGTGCCACAAGAAAGCACTTTCGGATGGGACCCACAGTGGAGAAAAACCCCTCGAGCTGCACGGAGGGAGGGGGGGTGGAGTTAGGGGGGTGAAAGGAGACGCGAGGTAAAGGAGACGCGAGGTGAGGCGGTTACTTGGAATGGAATGGAAGGGAGGGGAAATGCATACAGTCCTGGCCTTCTCTGTGCCCCAAGGAAACACTTTCAAATGGGGCCCATAGTTGAGAAGTAACCGTCGAGTTTAAAGAGGGGCAAAAGGGGGGTGCGGGAAGGAGGGAGTTGGGAGGAGATTCATGGGACGGGGGGGAAGGATGCGGGGGGGACGGAGGGGGAAGAGAAAAGAGGGTGGGAGTCTGATGGGACGGAGGAGAACAGGGAGAAGCGCGGAAGGAACGAGCAGGGATGACATGACAGGTCGAGAGAGGGGGGAGGAAGAATGATTGGAACAGGGGCAGGAGAAGAACACGGGATAGTCCAAAACGGTGGAAATGCAGGGAAGGATTCAAAATGGAAACATAAATTTTAGAAGTTTCAAAGGTCTATCGAAAGAACACATTGAAGTTCCAGGTTTGGGGGTATAGCGGTTTATTCCTTTTCTGCTGCTTCCGCATTCAAATGGCTCCTGAGGAGGTAACGCGGGTTCGACTTTATAAAAGTAAAGGCACTAACACGTACGCGCAGGGGTAAACCTTTAAAATCCCATCCCCTGTGAGAAACGCTGGAAAGAATTCGTCTGCGCTAAGAGATGCATTCGGCACAGTAGGAAAGACACCCACATCGCTCTGTGTGGCTTTAAACGAGACATTGCGCACGAACACCGTGTTCCGATCCACGTCACTCCGCCCCGCCTCCCCTCCCGCCGCATCTTTCCGCGCCCCTTCCGCCTCTGCCTCCTTCCGCGGCGCGCCATCTGCCGCTTCCTCCTTCCGCCCACTATCCGCCACTCCCCCCTCCCCCGCACCACCCCTTGCGCCAATTTTCTCCCCCTCGAGCCCGTCGTCCGCTGTTCCCCCGCCTCCCCGCGCTTCTGGCGCTCCGCCCGCTCCGCCTCTTTTCCGCCCCTCTTTGCCCTTCCCCACGGACCGGGTTGCAGCGGGAGAAGCAGCCATGGTCGCGACCGGAATAGAAGATGCGGTTACTTGCTCGCGTAAGTTTCGCGAGAAACGACTAATTTTACCGTCAGTTGCTGCTGGACCCAGTTGATAGGCCGAGGCGGAAAGGGAAAACCCTAGGTCCAGAACCCTGGATGGATTTCCGCGTGGGGAAGGAGGGTTCAAAGGATTCCTATGATCGGATGCTCTTACGAAAATATATTGCTCGAAACTCGTAACATTCTCGTGAACTCGTTATTTCTAGCCGTTGTGAATTCATCTCCGTGAAAACTTATGGGGATGTATACATACATAATTTCGAAATTGCAGGCACCTTCCGACCCAAGCTCCTAGACAGCAAGACTTATAGGGTTACTTTGAGAGACACCCAATTATCCTATGTACACCACCCTCGCCCCAACCACACCAGCCTGACTCCCATGCAACGCCCATCTCCCTCATCTCGTGCCTCCTTCAATCCACCAGCAGCACTAAGCACCACCCCAATGCACCGTATCTAGACGCACAGCCCCACCGCATGAGCCACATACGCCTCCCATGGGAGCTCAATCCCCGGCCCCACCACGCCAGCCTGCCTGCCATGCACGCCCATCTCCCTCATCTCATGCCTGCCCCGATCCACCAGCAGCACGAGAGCAAACAGCCTCCCCCCCGCCACTACCACCTGCTTCAGCTGCGCCCCCCACAGTATCTCTCCTCCCCCTCCCCCTCCCGCTGCTCCCCCTGCCATCTCCCACACGCATGCTCCCTCCCGCCACACATCCCTTCTCCCTTGCTGTTCCTGATTTTCTTGCTGCTGCTGCTGCTGCTGCTGCTGCTGCTGCTGCTGCTGCTGCCGCTTGGAGCAAGCAGTGCAGGGGGGTTTGCAGAGAGGGGCGTTTGGCTCGCCTTGCAGCAGCAGAAGAGACAAGCTATGCTGTACCGCTGCCACTGTAGCGCCGCCCGCCCAGCCACGCGCACACGGGGAGGGCGGCAGGGGAGCATGGGAGCAAGTGTTCATGGAGTTTGACGGTGGTATCGGAACATGGGAGGAGCGTGCGTGTGTGCAAGGCGCCGGTGGTATCAGAGCGAGCATGCCAGCAGCAGCTAGGCGGTGGATAGGGTCGCATGGGGGGGCGAGGCCCCACCTCCCACTGCTCACATCCAGCTGTAGCACACACCCTGCACTGCTGGCACCGGCTGTAGCAGCAGCTGCAGGGGCGGCTGAGGGGGAAGTGGGGTGGTCGGAGAAGCAGGTGAGGCGGTGGCGGTAACGTGCGTATACGCGGTTACCAGCGTGGATGACGTCACAGCAGCGAGGGGAGATGGAGGGGTGCAGTGCGGTTGTTACAGTTATGTTGGTGACTGGCACGGGTGGGCTTGAGGGTGACGGGGATAGGGATGAGGAGGACGTGGAGGAGGATAGGGATGGAAGAGACGAAGGGGATGAGGGCAGCAAGGAGGGAGAAGACGAAGGAGAGGGGGAGGAGGAGTAAGGCGATGTGGAGAGGGGAGAGAGCGCGCCACCAGAGCAGCTGGCAATGGCATGGGCAGGAGAATCCCCAGGGTGTGTGGGAAGACCCTGAGTTGCAGGGGGGTTGTGGTGCATGGTTAGCTTAGGCACTGTGGGTAACGTGGATATCTCGATAACAGATGTCGTTTCGCTCACTGGAATAGCCCCTATCCCCCCTTCCTTCCCCTCCCCCTCCCCTCTTGTATCCCTCCCATCACACGTCATCCTCTCCCCCTCCACTTCTCCCCCTCCTTGCACTCCTCCGCCCATCCCTGCGCCCCAAACGTTCCCCCTCCCGCCCACCCTCCCCCTCCCCCCAATCTCCCCCCCTCCCCCCACGAATAGCCTCCCCCCTGCCCACACCACCACCGGATCCAACCGCGCTGAAAACCCCTCATGCTGCACCTGCACCCACCGCCCCGCCAGCCAATCAAACAGCGACACGTGGCGGACCGCCTCTCCCGTCCCCAGCACCACTCCCCCTGCGATCGCGAGCCCCCAGCCGGGAATGGCGGCGACTGAGAAATGGCGGCAGCGCTGCGACCCGTGCGGATTGGACGGCGGGAGGGGGGGCAGCCGGCGCCACCTTCCGTAACCGTTCGATCCAGAAAGTCCGGCGCACCCTGACCGTCCACATGCGACCGTCGCGCTCCGACGCGATTCGTTACAGGCGCGTCCACTGAACGTCCATCGCGTTCCCTTGCTGCCGCCGCAATCGGCGGCGGAGGCGGCGGATGCGGGGGAAAGGGCGTCGGCGGAGAGATCGAAGGCGAACCAGTCGAGGCGGCCTGGATGCCGCCTGCTCGCCGCGCACAGACACACGTAGCCGTTACTCCCGTTAATATCACATTCGCCTCTCCCCTCAATACAATCGCGGCCGTCCCTGTGTGAGAAGCACGCAGGGGACGACGCGCATTCCGCGCAATCAGCGTATGACGCGCAGTCCGCCCCGTGCTGCGTCACCACCCTCCGCACCCTCTGCGCGACGAGCGCCTGCTGCCGCCGCCGCTGCTGCGCGAACGCGTCGCTCGCAATCGCCGTCGCCCAGCCGCGGGACACGCAGCGCGCGATCACGAGGTCCCAAAGACTAAGGCGAGACAGGCAAGCGACGCTGACGTCATCGGGCAGCGGAGGAATCAGCGCAGGAATCGGCTGAGGAATCTGCGGAACAGGCGGAGGAATCGACGGAGGGATCATCGCGGGAGGGGGTGCATGCAAGGCTGCAGCGGCAGGCATGGCGCATAGGCACAACAACCCGGCTGAGCAGGTACAATCAGTCTAAGGACGCGTCACCTTTGTTCTATACCAGCACCGACCCTATGCAGGATCGTTTTATAGCGGTGATAAAAAGGGAAAAACACGAAGGGTTTCTCTTTTAGGGCTAGAAACCCTTCTTTTTTCCCTTTTTTCCCGCTATAAAACTACCCTCCGTAGGTACGGTGCTGGGATCGAACATGGGTGGTGTGTCCTAAGTTTGACCGAATTCTGGTTTTGATGACGAGATGGCATGAAATTCGGCGAGATTGAGCGACGCGACCGATCGCGCGGTTGGCTCAAATCCGTCGACCGCCCTCGCAGCACAAGTGGGGCGCTCTAGCCTGGTCCAATTCGATTGACCTACATGTGCTTCTCTAAGGGCGTGTGTGGTCTTTGAATTTTGTAAAAGTTTATGTTTTTAGGGCGAATTTTGTTTTTGAACTTAAGTCGAATGAAATTAATCAGGTCTACAACACAGTAAAAAAACACATACACATACAAGGTCGAACCCCGACATTCGAACTTGTAAAAACGCGCCGAGCCGCACGTCAACAACAAAGGTTACCCGGTTCGCCCGCTTTGACAGTGCGCCTCGTCAACATCGTGCGACACGTTTGGGGGACGTGGGTTGGGCGATGGCGGGAGATTTTTTGGAGGCGATGGCTACGTGGCTGCCACTCAGTGTACGAATTTGGGGTGTCTTCGTTGTGCCACTTCGTGCACTCGCGAAAAACTCGACCTCTTCGTCTGCTGTTCGTGCGGTCTGCAAATCACACACGTTTCCATGAACGTGCGCACACACGTTCACAACTCCAACTCGAGTCAAGTTCAGATTTCGCGTTCGAAATTTTGTTCTCCCCATTATGTAATGGTTTCGCCAATCTAGCTAAACGAAATGTGCGAAAAGGGTAACCACACAAGGTTCGAACTTTTTTCCGAACTTCTAAAAAGATCACACACGCCCTTAATGTAACTAGTCTATACTGTGAACAAATCAAACACTGTGAACAAGGCAAACAATAATAAACCCATATTGGCTGGCATGCCTTTAGGAGGCATCAACCCTAAACACTATGAAGCAAGGTGTTTAGGATTAATGCCTCCCGAAGGGCATCCCGTCTTAGATGGTTTAATTTTATTTGCCCGATGGCAGCTTGTGAATATGTATATATATATTGTTAGAATCTAGCAGCAGGAATGAATGAACAAGCAATGAGTTTGGAACAAGTACTAACCATAACTAGGTTGTACCCCATATTGGCTACCCCACTACAGCCTACACAGCACAATGTTCTGACACACCCCCATAGGCAAGGTGGGGGAGTACAAGCAGTCACGCCAAGAAAAACAAAGCAAGCTCAGGGTCGATCACGAAATCACCACACATTCCGAGCACAAGCAAATGGCCGCTACCGCAGGCTCAGCACCCCCAGGCTCCGCACGCTCAGGCTCAGCACCCCCAGACGCAGTACCCCGAGCAGCACCACCTCCAGCAGCACCAGAGTCACTAGTGACCTCGAAAGGCTCAGCCTAGGGAAGTGGATCTACCTGAGAGACACCTGAAGGAGCAGGACCCTGAGGGGGGAGGGGGTCTACCGGAGGGGGACCTTGAGCGAAGAAGAGCGACGGGGGGGGGGAGAGGGGCAGTGCGGTAGGGGAAGAGACAGTAAAAGGGAACCGACTCGTCAAACGTGATGTCCTGAGAGGACAGAACACGACGCGAGGTGGGGTGGTAAAACTGCCAGCCAGGCGCGTCAGGGGGAAAGCCAAGGAAGACGCACGGAACCGCGCGAGCGGAGAGCTTGTCCGCGGTGGTATTTCGGACAAATAGCCAACGTCCAACAAGGATACGGCAGTCCTCGTAATGAGGCACGCGCCAGAGCAACGGAGAGTTTGGTGGACACCACACATCCCCACAACCGCACGTCGGATCGTTGGCTTGAGAGGGATTGCGGCGTACGGAGCTAAGTGGGGGTGCCGGTCCTTGGGTTAGGGGTGAAATCCATACCCTTGGGGCGCGGTTCTCTTCGGGGCTACCCTGGTTAGGAGTGAAATCCTTACCCCGGGGTACAGGCCTAAAAAAAAAAAAAGAGGTATCACGGACAAAGGCATGAGAGCCCCAGACCCGGAACGTCGACGCATCACCAACCTCCCCCGTCCAACGCAGTGTAGGCGAGGTCTCCGGCAAGGAGACCCGGGGCCAGAGGTTGAGCTGATGCGCGGCGTACCGGACCGCAAACGGCCACAG